GAGGTAGCTTCGCACACTGGGGCAAAGACCACCAGAACCTCGGCTGAAAGGAAGCTCAGAGGCCATCTAATCTGTTTCTAGAACTGGGGCAAACAGGGCACCTAAGAGAGTATACAGCATGGCTGAGGGCCCAGGTGTGCCAGGCCAAAGATGGTGCATCTTACCGGTACCTCGACTGCATACATAAACGTTAAAAATGTTGAAAAGAATGTTAAAAATGTTGAAAAGGGAGAGCCATAAATCTGGTACCTAAGCACAGCACGGGGTGGGAGAAAAGAAGGCAAGGATGTGAACATTCAACTTAAGAGACTTCCCATCTCCAGCATCCACCAGGTAACACTCACTCTGGCACTACGACAGGGTCATTTTAGATACACCAAACTAGTGCAAAATCTGAGGCCCAAAGAGGGTGAGACCTCTGCCCAAATGCACAGGAGTGAGTCAGCGGCAAAGTTTTCATCCGGCCTTGTCGACGGGCTCCCCGGATCTTTTTCCAATCCTCTTCCTTCCAAGCAATGGGGCCCCCTACCCTTTGCTGCCTGCACAGTCTCCTTCCCCCAGGAGGCTGTGATTGCATGAAAGGTAAACAGATCTCAAACGAGCCTTCGCTCGGCAATCGCAAGTAAATTCTTCGCGGCGTTTCTGCGCATGCGCCCAGTAAGCCCAACCCCTTCGGGGAGTCTACCCCGCCTCTCTGCCCATCACCAACATGGCCGCCCTAGCAACAGCCGCTCCTGCCCGGCACAAACGTAGCAGCCCCTGACGTCATAAGACGGCGCCGGTAGTCTCAGAGGCTGCACGTGGGCTCGGATTTGGGAAACTTTCTGGCTGGGCCATGGATACACCGCTGAGGCGCAGCCGGCGGCTGGAAGGCCTAAACCCTGAATCCTCCGAGAGCTCCACCTCACTTCTGAAGGCGAAACGAGCCCTTTTGGAGTTCGAGTCGAACCCAGAAGAAACGAAGGAGACCGGGTCTCGGAGTGTGCGGCAACCCGGCCTGGGGTCCCCGGGACGTCAGCCGGAGACCTGCCCGGGATCACCCAGCCTACGACAAGGAGCAGGCTTGGAGTCCCCCCGAAAGGAGCCAGATCCGGGCCCAGGGTTCCCCCAGAGTCAGCAACATCCAGGCCAGGAGTCTCCCCAAAGACAGCCGGAGTCGAGCCCTGAAACCCCCCAATGTCAGCCAAAACCAAGTGGGGAGTCACCAAAGTACTTCCAGAGCCAAGAAGAACCGGACGCGGAGTTAGCCCAGAGTAAAGAGAAGCTGGCCCCAGGGGCCCCCCGATATCAGTTGCATCCGGGCCCAGGATTACCAGAGCCTTATCTCGGTCAGCTAGCGCCTGGTCCGGAGCCCTCGCCGCCACTACAGGACCTGTCACCACCGTCACCCGGCTACCCCCGGGGCGAGCACGAGCCTAACAAGCCACCTCCGGCCAGGGAGCCAGTAAGTGACGGCCTCGGGCCAAAGAAGCGAAAAGGATCTTCAGCCCAGGCCCCAGCGTCCAAGACGTTGAAGGAGGAGGTGGCGATTCCAACAATCCCGAAGGGAAAGCCCAAGTCGGGGCGGGTGTGGAAGGACCGCTCCAAGAAGAGGTGAAGGGCGGGGGAGCTGGGCAGGGGTTCTCTGTGGTGTTGGGGCGCCGGTGCAGCCTGGAGACAGCCCCTGGGTTGGAGAGAGCTCACACAAACTGTTCGTTACAATGAGAATGTAGTAACACGCCCTGGGACCCCGGGGAGGGTGAGAGCGTAGTTATTTCTGTGCTGATTTTCTCCTCAGAGTCCCTGCGGACCTCTCCTATAGCACGTTTGTGTATTCATTCAACAGGCATTTACTTTTGTCTGCCCTCTCTGGTGAGGGAGGCAGAAGCAAGTAAACCACCCATGACTTGATAAAAAGCAGTGATGTCTTCACCCACTATTATCTGTTAAGTTATTTGCCTCTGTGATAAAAAGTATAACCAGCATTGCGTATACAGAACACTGATAAGCACTTTAGTAAGCGTTGGCCAGGGGATGGCCTTTCAGACAGAGGGACCAGCGTGCATCATGGTGTTTAACCTGATCATCAGCCCTGTGAAGCAGCAAGTTTATCCTCACTAAATTTACATATGAGGACGGAGGCTCTGCAAAGAAACCAGGGGAGAACAGACTGTAGGAGATCCTGGGTAAAGGAGGAGAGCCGGGTAAAGGAGGAGAATTAAAACACCTTCAGAAGCTGCTGGCAGGTCTTGAGGCAAAAGGCCAAAGGGCCTTGGAATTGATTTTTGGGCTCTTTGAAGAAACAGCTTTGGTGGGTGACAAGTGAACCTAGAGACAGTGGAGTCAGCACCTGCTCCAGGTGTCCCAGCAAAGAGGATAAGGAGGGAGACAGTCGCACCTGGGAAAGCCTGGCTGCAGCCCCACCTCCCCTGCCAAACGCCACCTTCTGCACAGTGCTCATTGAGTGCCATCTCCCTTCTCTGAAGGGTGGCATTTATTGAGCATCTACTGCGTGCATAGCACTGTGCTAAGTGCTTCTCAAACCAAGTCTCGATTAATCCTCCCACACACCTTGGGATGGGAATGATTCTCATCTCCATTTAACATGGGAAGGTGCTGAGAGACTCGGAGAGGCTACCTTGCCCGAGGTCACAGAGATAGTAAGTGGTGGATTTAGGCCTAGGAAGCCAGGCCTGTCTCCAGGTAAATTCTCCAGGTAAAACTGATGCTCTGGACCTACACTACCCCAATACTTAGCTACCACTGCATGTGGCTATTTAAATTTAAATTGATTGAAATTACATTTTCGGTTTCTCGGTCACACCAACCACATTTCAAGTGCTCGGCAGCCAGTGTGACTAGTGGCTTCCTTATTGAACAGCGTAAATGTAGGTCATTCCCACCATTACAGAACGTTCTGCTTGGCAGCACTGCTCTAGAAAGATGCAGCATTGTGTCCTGTGACTCTGTGCCCAGGTCCCCACTGCCTGATCCCCTTGGGTTTTTCACACCCTAGTTCAGGGTAAGGAGGAAGTCCATGCCATAGCCCCATTCTGTGCTTAGGAGGCCAGGTCTTCAGCAGGCCCTTGGAGAGGGGGAGAAGGAGCAGAGCAGGGGTGTGTGGGGGTCGGGGGCAGGCAGAGTGAGGGAGGGGGGGCAGAATCAGCCTGAAGACGGACAGGCGTGGGGGTCAAGGCCCACACAAGTCTGGCCATGTGTGCCAGACTCCTATGGAGCAGGAAGGAGAGAAAACAGCCCAGAAGAGCCGTATTGACCCCTCTCTGTGGACAGAGTGGGCTCTGTCCTGCAAGCACCACAGCCTTCAGAGGCTGGGGCAGGACCACTGACCTGCTGTGACAGTTCAGGACACCGTATAATGGAAGTGGACGAACAGAAACTCTTTCGGAAGTTAAGAAATGGTGGGGGAGGCAAAAAGGCCACTGCGAGGGGATCTGCTAAGGAGAAAAGGCCCACAGGACACCCAAGCAGCCTTCAGTTAGTTCAAGGGGAAAGACCTACAGGAAAGGAAGCGCACAGTCTGAGAACCCCACCTTGTCATCTCCAGCTGCCACAGTCCTCAGCATGTTACTGGTCTGGCTTTATCTCGCAGCCTGACATTTTTTTCTCCTTTTTTTCTCCCCCTGGAATATTTCACAGCAGGTCCTTGGTATGTCATTGCCCCCACTCATCCTGGCAGCATGCATTCCCACAGAGATAACCTCCTTTCTCCTATGACTATAATGCCCCTATCACACTTAAGGAATACAAGACATCCCCTGTTAACCTTTAATTCCTTCTCCATTTCACATTTCCCTACTGGGGAGAGAGATTCTGAACCATTACAGGGGACTGGCCCGTTCACGGCTGCCCTGGTCAGGAGTGAGCCCCGTCTCCAGAAGAGCAGCTTTATGGCAGAGGCCATGTGGCCTGGACTGTTGTCACAAACTGGGATTTGGGAACACAGTGACCTTGGACAGATATTTAATCTCTCTGAGCCCTGGTTTGCTCCTCCGTAAAATGGAGAGAACAAGAGTCTCCACCTCAGAGGCACATAACCAGGGCTTAGGAAATGGCGGCGGGCATGGTCAGGGCCCTTTCCTGCCCCAAGTCTCTGCAAACCCGGAGGGTCAACTTCTCAGCACACTGGCTGGTGGGGAGGTGATGCTCACTGGGTTCAGGGGAAGGGCCCAGAGCCCGGAGCAGAGGAGAGGGTGTGGGTACAGCCCACAGAACCTGCGAGCGACCCCTCTCCCCATGCAGGTTCTCTCAGATGGTTCAGGACAAGCCCCTGCGCACATCTTGGCAGCGGAAGATGAAGGAACGGCAGGAAAGGAAGCTGGCCAAGGACTTCGCCCGGCACCTGGAGGAGGAGAAGGAGAGGCGCCGGCAGGTGAGGGGCTGGCCAGCCAGGCTGCGGCTCGAGCTCAGGCCACACCAGTGTCTGCTGTGACGGGCCCCGGGGAGTGTAACCTCACACGGGCACCCAGAGGTGTGGCTGACTTGGTCACAAGCCTTTCTTGAGCCAGAGGGCCCCTGGGAGGCAGGCAGCCTGGCCAGAAGCAGAAGTGCAGTCTGGGACCACAGGTAGGGAAGGCCAGTGGGACCTCCAGTTTAGCCTGGGGTTCTGTACAAGGCTCAGGGATGGGGAGGAGGTTACTTGGTGAGGTGAGGTTGGGGTCCCTGCTCAGGTGGGGAAGGCTTACAGGGTGGAAAGCCTTGTCCCCCATATTGCTGCTGTCATTCTCCAAGAGGTGACTGCCACGCATCAGCAAAGTGAATGCCCGTACTTTCCTCCAGTTTTCCCCCTGACACTCATCCCAGGGCCAGAAATGCCCCATTAGAAGCCCACGTCCAACCTCTTCGGTCACCAGGAAGCCCCAGCAAGCCATGGAGAGGAAGCGAGGTGGGAGCATTGGCCAGTGACTTCCCCTCCAGGGGTCTTCGGTGGGACAGCGCTGGCCTGGTGGTCCCAAGGCCACAGGAGGAGCGCGGCATCTCTACCCAGCTTGTGCTCCCAGCCTGGCCCGGCAGGTGAGGGGCTGGCCAGCCAGGCTGCGGCTGGAGCTCAGGCCACACCGAAAGGAGGGAGTGGACCAGTCACTCAGCCACCTGCTTCCAGTAGCCCCAGCTCAGCCTGTGGCCAAGGTCCTGTAGGTGTGGCTGCTGCCATGTACGCTGAGCTTTATCTCACTTCCTGGCTCCCTCTTGGGCAAGACAGCCTCTTACCGTGGCCTTCAGACCTTCCCCTCACTCCGGGAGCCCAAGTCTCACTTCTCCTTTCGCCCTGGGGGCCCAGGCCACCCCCACTCCCCTGAGTTACCAAAGCCAAGAGAGGCCCCAGCCATGCAGCAGCCTCGGAGCCCACATCCCACCTGGCCCCACCAGGGAGCAGGCAGCAAAGCAGAATGGGCTTCCCGCTCCCAAGACAGAATCCGTCTAGCTTCATCTTCTAAGTGCTCCCAGTAGGCAGGCTGGCATGCCAACCCCTGTACATGTGCTCATTCTTTTATTCCTCAAAACAAGCTTATGTGATCATCTTCCCTTTAAAGAGGGGGGAGTTGAGGCTCACAGAGATCAAACAACTTGGCCAAGGTCTCCAACTTAGGAAATAGCAGAGCCAAGATTCGAACCGGAGCCTCTTCTCTGCAGCCTCCACTCTGTCCAGCGCTCGCCCCTGGCCTTGGCGTTGTCAGGTCACATGGACATCAGGGGGAGGGAGGGAGAGGCTAAGAGGGCAAGAATGAGGGAACCAGCCCACCCCTTCTCCCCTGGCAATTGATGAGGGGGCTGTGCCAGGGGGCACTGTCTGCATGTGCCTGAGTTTCCAGGTGGGGAGCCACCGTGCGTAAGCCCCCCGCCCCACCCCTCCACCACCACCAGTCCCATCTAAGGCCCTGTCCTCAGCTGCCTCTCCAGGTGCCCGCCTCAGATGGGATCGGGACCTCCCCACCACGGAGGGCCTTTGGTCCCATGGGCACGGACTTGTCCTTCCTGGCTGTCCACCCACACACCACCAGGAGCGACCTAGAGTCCTTCCTGGCTGTCCACCCACACACCACCAGGAGTGACCTCGACCCGGCTGAGAGGCCTTTCCCTCCCTGGGGAGTCGGCCAGCTCTCCCCCGGGGCCTCGGAGACCAGGGCCGCCTCAGCTCCAGGCCCCACAACTCCTTCCACTCTGTTCCAGGAGAAGAAACAGCGCCGAGCCGAGAACCTGAAACGCCGCCTGGAGAACGAGCGCAAGGCAGAGGTCGTCCAAGTGGTGAGTGCTGCCCCGCCTGCCTCCCAGCCCCCACTCTGCCGCTGCCACACTCACGCTCCCCCTTCCCACCCCCAGATCCGTAACCCTGCCAAGCTCAAGCGGGCGAAGAAGAAGCAGCTGCGCTCCATCGAGAAACGGGACACCCTGGCCCTGCTGCACAAGCAGCCGCCCCAGCGGCCGGCTGCCGAGGTCTGAGCGCGGGACAGGCCGGAGGTCTCTGGCAGCCAGCCACCATGTCAGGCACGCACAGCGTGTCCCGGGCTGCTGGTCACACGCCTCTGCTGGACCCAGCACTCCAACTCGGGCTCCAGAACAGGGACCCCACCCAGAGGGGGCTCAGCTCTGAGGGCTCTGGGACAGACCCAGAGGAGCCTGGGGCCCAGCAGAGGCTGGGGGAGGGAAAAGATTCGGTTCCCTCGTCTCTCCTTCCCCCTCCTTCTCCAAGTGCCTTCAAACCAAGGACAGTAAATTCTTCTGGCTCCTCAGAGAGCTGGTGACTCCCCAAAATGTGCATGTTCTGTCTCAACGTCCTGGGTCCAACCCAGGCCAGGAGACCGGCAGTCCAGAATCAGCTCCCCACACCTTCTGTAGGCTGCTTTGGGTACCTCTGTACCCCACTGACCCCGTCACCCAGCAAACTGAATCCAGCTCTGCCCCACTTTTCAACACTGAAAGATGAAAACGAGGAGGTTGGAGGAAGCGAGGTTCCGCTCTAGCACCCTCTTTCCTGTGCCAGACTCGGCAGACGCCCCAAAGATCTGATTAACTCCTGCCCGTCCAGTATACAACAATATTTATTGAGTGCCTGCTGCGTACAGGCACAGTTCTAGGTAGCAGGGAATACAGACAAAAGTTCCTGCCCTTGAGCTTTCATTTTGATGGAGAAAACATAATAAACAAGTAAATGTATTGTGTGTCAGATGGCAGAAGTGCTGTGAGTAAGGCCGGGCGGGGGCGGGAGGGAGCCTGGGCGAGGCGTTACGATGGGACGTCTGTTCCATCGGCTGTACACGTACTGTTCATTTTACTGGGCAGTTGCTATGGGCCAGGCTCTGCCGGGCACAAGGCACTCTGGACCAAGAGCCCAAGAGAGTTTCTCATCCCAGCTCTTCCACTAATGTTTCATCTGCCAAACACTAGCATCAGCTCTGCGCCAGGCCCTGGGATGCAGAGCAAATAAATACAGCGGTCTCTGTCCTCAAGTCCATGGTGGGTAAAGGAAAGGACATGGTGCAGTGGACATGCAATGATGTACGAGTTACCCTCACATCTGCAAATGGAGTACTAGCTGCTCAGCTGCCGTGGATGCTGCAGAGGTCTTCGGATGACCAGCCTTGCCCAGAGGACATGCCACAGAACATCGGGCATGCTCAGGTGTCAGATAAGCTAGGAGATGTCACATGCTGTGATCTGGGTGACTGCCATGGACATTCAAATACTGAAGACTAAAGACCTTCAGTAAAGATGCCCATCGCACTATAATAGCCTGAGTTTCCCAAACATCTGACTATGGCACCCTTTTGCTTCTTCCACCTTGTAAACACTTTGGGCGATGCTGGGCCAGAGGGTGGAGATGGGGTCTCCCACATAGCTACTATTATAAGTACCTTGGGTCTGTCGGGTGGTTCTTTCACTTACCAAATAGTAATTGAACAGGTAACGCTTAATGGGTAGCACGCAGACCCTGTATTTTGGGCAAGTCACTGAACCTCCTTGTGCCTCAGTTTGCTCATCGTTAAAAATTGGGGCTAATAACCTGCCCCTTAAGAATGTGGGATAAAGCATCTAGCTCAATAAAAGTTGGCAAAATGGCTAAGGTTAGACTGGAACAGGGCTCCCCAAACCTTTTCTTACTTTTCTACTCCAAAAATACATCTCTGGTTTAATGCAAAACATGCCCGCAGGCCCTGCCGCCTCCTCCCCCACCCCCAGCCCCCATCATCTGGTACAGTCGAGCTCCGCGGAGATGCATCTCGTGTGCCAGGGGCAGTCCGCCACCCTTGTCTGAGAAGTCTGCTGGTAACCGGTGTCACGTGTTACTCCAGGTGTGGTCCGGGGACCAGCAGCACCGACACGGCCTCCGGCAAGGGGGTCTCAGCACCCCCCGCTCCGCCTGCTGGACCAGACTGCACTCCCGCAGGAACTCGAAATGGCTCAAGCACAGTAAAGTCTGCGAAGCCCTGCTTTCCCCTCTGTTTCTGAAAAGGCCTCACTGAGTCATGCGGGGCTCTTTAAAATACAGATTACGAGGCCCTGCCCTCAGACAGATCCCCGCGCCTGCTGCCCGGGTATCTATGCATTTCAACGACGGCGCCTTCAGGATGCTTTTGCACCGGCCACGGCCCTGCCTTTGCCTTCCGGGGAGAATGGCGATGCCGGCCGCGCCCCTAACTGGAGGTGGAGCTCAGTGCCGGGTTCAAGGGGCCCCTCTCGTCCTGGCATCGGGCCCCGCCCCTGGCCGGGGGAAGGCGCTGGGGGCGGCGGTGCAGGAGGAGGTGCAGGAGGAGCGGCGGCGGCGGCGGAAGCTGGTGCCCAGGTCGCCGTCTTCCACCAGCACGCTCTCCAGCACGCTGCGCAGCGAGCTCCGCAGCTTGCTCAGCACGTCGGGGCAGGTGAACACGTAGAGCAGCGGGTTGATCACGCTGTTGATGAAGGCCAGGCTGGTGACGAAGGGCAGCCCGCGCCACACGAGCGGCCGCAGAGACACGTCGCTGTGCGCGCGGGCCTCCAGCAGGCTGAAGACGTGATAGGGCCCCCAGCAGAGTGCGAAGGCTGCCACCACGGCCGCCACGAGGCGCACAAAGCGGCCAGGCCGCCGGCGGCCGCGGTGGCCCAGCTGCAGGCTCACGGCCACGTGGCTGGAGGCGATG